ACTTCGGTGAAAGGCCAGCTGAAAGCTTCAAATGGGCTCCCAACGGTACACAAACTGGCTTCGTATCCATGCTAACATGGAATCGCTGTAGAACCTTCTTCAAATAAGCCACATGTGTCAAACAAATTCTGCCCTTCTTCTTGTCTCTGCCGATCTCCATCCCTAAAATGCGCTTCGCCTCGCCCAAGTCCTTCATCTCAAACTCATTCGAAAGCTGAACTTTCAACTCATATATAGCTGACCTGGAACTAGAGGCAACCAACATGTCATCGACATAAAGCAACAAATAAATGTACGCACCTCCTCTCAACTTGCGAAAATACACGCAAGGATCAAACTGGCTCCGAGTGTACGAATGACCAAGCATAAAACCATCAAATCGCCTATACCACTGTCGAGGAGACTGCTTCAAACCGTATAGCGATTTCTTTAGCCTGCAAACCAACTTATCTTTCCCTGCAGCTCGGAATCCCAATGGCTGAGTCATATATATTTCTTCATCAAGATCACCATGAAGAAATGCTGTCTTCACATCCAACTGATCTAACTCCAATCCATACTGTGCCACCAAAGCTAGCAAAATCCGAATCGACGAATGCTTCACCACCGGAGAGAAAACCTCATTGTAATCAATACCTTCCTCCTGTGCATAGCCCTTCGCAACCAACCTAGCCTTGAACCTCACTGGAGTGCCCTCAATGCCCTCCTTCTTCGTGTACACCCACTTGCACCCAATCGCCTTCCGCCCCTTTGGAAGCTCTACAAGCTCCCATGTATCGTTCTTGTGAAGAGACTCCATCTCCTCCTGCATAGCCACCTGCCACGAATCAGCCTCCGAACTCTGCTCGGCCTCTCTGAATGTAGTAGGCACCATCTCATCGATACTCTCCACCGGAAGTGCATATGCAACTGTGTCGGCATACCGTGCTGGCACCCGTATGTCTCTCCTCTGTCTCCGTGCCGCAATAGAATCCTGAACCTGAGCCGTCGGTCCCTGATCCTGCTCATGAGTACCCGTATCCTCCGCATCACCGTCGTGCTCGCCTGGCGTCACCTCAGTCGGCACTCTCATGGATACTGCACTATCTGGACTCTGTGGAGCTGCATCAATCTCCACCACCTGCGAAATCTCCTCTGTCGGGTTGCTCTCCACCTGATGAGAGCTGGGAAGCTTCAAGATAGAAGCCTCATCGAATGTGACGTCCCTACTCAGCACAATCTTCTTATCAACTGGATCCCAAAGCTTGTATCCCTTGACACCACGCTTGAATCCTACAAATATGGCCTTCCTAGCTCGAGGTTCCAACTTATCAGTTCTAACATGATAATATGCAGGGCAACCAAATACCTTAAGCTGGTCATAGTCATGTGCTGTCTCTCCCGACCACATCTCCATAGGGGTCTTCCCCTCAATCGCAGATGAAGGCAGCCTGTTAATGAGGTGGCTCGCATAAGAAAGTGCCTCAGCCCAAAAGATCTTCTCCAAACCACTATGCGCCAATAAACATCGAATCTTCTCCAGCAAAGACCGATTCAATCTCTCCGCCACCCCATTCTGCTGCGGTGTATGACTAACTGTGAAGTGCCTCTCTATGCCCTCGTCTCGACATAGCTGCAGAAAGGGGTCTGAGGTATACTCGCCGCCGTTGTCGGATCGCAACGTCTTGATCTTTCTCCCAGTCTGCAGTTCCAATCTCTTCTTCCACTCCACAAACAAATCTAGGACTTCACTCTTATGCTTCATGGTGTACACCCAACATCGCCTAGAATAGTCATCAACGAACGTGACGAACCAATGTCGACCACCAAGTGATGCCGTCTTAGTGGGACCCCAAACATCTGTGTGCACGTAGTCCAAGATGCCCCTCGTCCTATGAATGGCCGTCCCGAACTTCACCTTCGTCTTCTTGCCAAGTACACAGTGCTCACAGAATTCTACTTTACCACTCTTGGCTCCCTTCAAAAGCCCCTGCTTGCACAATGCCTGCAGTGACTTTTCACCTGTATGCCCTAGCCTGTAGTGCCAAAGTCTGCTCATGTCCGCCTCTGAAATCGCCGAAGCAACCTGGCCAATCTCGGTGCTCCCCTTCAGATAATATAAATTATGATTTCGGACTCCCTTCATCACCACCAAAGATCCCTTAGTAACCTTTGCTACAGCATCCTCAAAGGTCACCCTGAATCCCTTCGCCTCCAAAGCCCCCACTGAGATAAGATTCTTCTTAAGTTGAGGAACGAATCTCACCTCCTTCAGCTCACGGACTACTCCATCGTGCATCCGAATCCTCACAGTACCTATCCCACGAACGCCACAGGATTGATCATTTCCCATGACCACAACACCCCCATCGAGTCTCTCAAATGATGAGAACCAATCTCGCCTAGGAGTCACATGATAAGTAGCGCCAGAATCAAGCATCCACTCCGATGCATCCAAATGGTTCACCTCCGGAGTAATCAAAAGAGAAAAGCTCGAATCATCGGAATCATCGCCTTTCGCAACATTCACCTCATTGGCCTTCGGGCCCTTATTCTTGCTATTCTCCTTTTCTTTGACTTTCGGGCAATCTCTTTTCCAATGTCCCTGCTCCTTGCAGAATGCACATTGATTCTTTCCAAGCTGGTGACGACCTCTTGACTTTGACCTCCCTCTGTTTCCACCTTTCTGATATGAGCTTCTACCTCTCGCCGACAAGGCCTCTCCTGAAGTACTAGCGCGGGAAGTCTCCTTATCCTTCCTCCTCAAATCATAGTTCGTCAATGCGTTAGTCACTTCACTATAAGTGATAGAAGATCTCCCGTTCAGCAACGTAAGCACGAAGGTATCATACTCCTCATCCGGTAAGGAGCCCAAAAGAATAATAGCCTTGTACTCATCTGTGATCTTCTCATCCACGTTCGCCAAGTCCGACAACAACTTAGTGTAGTTGTTCACATGAGCCGCAAGCGAGGTACCTCTGGACATCTGGAATCTGAATAACCTTCGCAGCAAGTGCAACCGGTTCTCAACACTCTTCGTAAGGTACTTATTGTTGAGAATTTCCCACATCTTCATCGCAGACGTCACCCCAATCACATCGTATTTCAGCTCCTGTTCCAAACAGGACCTGATCACCCCGCAAGCATTTCGATTCATCTTTTCCCATATCGCCTCTTCATATTTAGGTGGCCTCACATCGACCATGATGGTCTCCTCCAGATTTTGAGCATTGAGCGCATCCTGTACGTCGCTCATCCACAAACCAAAATTGATCTTGCCGTCATATTTCACAACACTAATCTTAGTGTTCTGAAAACCCACTTGAACTGTGCCTGTCATCTTGCTGCTTTCACCAATTACTTCACCCATAATCACAACTTCCAAATTGTAGAGAAAGATCCAAACTTTGAAAGAATAAGAAATTACCCAACTGAACCCTAGATTGGATTCCAAATAGAACTCCTAACCACACGAGGAAAGCGAGATCTTCAACGGCAACTTCAAACCCTAACTCCACCAAAGCCTAGAACTCCAAGAACCAAGCTTCAAACTGAATCTTCCTCCACCTAATCCAAAACCCTAGATCTGAATCTGAGTCGGCAAATTGCCTACGTCCACGGGGCAAGGAGGGGGGAGATCTACTAATAGAGGGAGAGAATACAACTAGGGTTTACAATCACTCTCAATCTAAACCCTCAAACAAACTCTCAAATCCCTCACAAATATCTCTCACAAAAGGATGCACAAAACCCTAGAGAAGGGCTACTCAAACACAAAGAAACAAAACAAAAGAAAAAAACAGTCGCTGCTTTCTTCTGCTCTTGCTTTTCTCCTGCTGCGATTTCCTGCCGCAGCCGCACCCCTTGCACGTCCAAAGCTCCTTTTCGCACACCCTAGGGCACAAATTAAAAGGTATATATAGCCTATAGCTAATTCGGGTGGGCCTGCACTATGCGGAAAAGAAAAAATGCCTGAACTTCAACTTCATGAAGGTGGCCCCCACGTCCTTGCCTCCCGTGCACTTTGCTTCCCCAATTCGCAATTCGTGAACATAGTGGACCCCACGTTCACAGTTTTCTCATATTCATTTTGTATCCGCATGCATATCCGCTCATATATCTGCATCTATATCCGTAACCGTATTCGATTTTAGCGGATATTGATATGAATTTTTCTTACCGATATATATTAGTATCTGTATCCGTATCCGAGATGGGTAAGCGGATATGGATACGGTAAGCATCATATTCGAGCCGTATCCGGACCGAATGCACCCCTAATTACAATCCATGATTTTGGCTGTGTTTGACTAAAACACAAGATATTTTATGCAAAATCCAAAATTCCCTAATATCGTTGAACTATAATCCACAATTTGTGTTGTTTTCGATCAAATCACAAGTATTCATCCATAAATTATTTATGTGTATTTAAATTACCCGAATTTATGTGAACTATAATCCATGATTTTCGCTGTGTTTGACTAAATCACAAGTTGTCGTACTAAACAGAATATTTTACGCGTATCCCAAATTCCTTTATTTTTCGTGAACTATAATCCATGAGTTTGATCATTTTCTGATCATTTTCGATCAAATTATAAGTTGTCATTTTTGACCAAATTCCCTAATTCATGCATAGTCCAAAATTTTTAAATTTTTGCGAACTATATAACACATAATTTTGGTTATTTTAATTAAATCACAAATTATCGTCCATTAAATATTTTATGTTTACCTAAAATTTTCTAATTTCTAAGTACTATAGCCCATGATTTTGACAGTTTTCAACCAAAATCACAAGTTGTTATTCCGTCAAAAATATTTTATGCATACTTCCTCCATAAATTTTTTTAACTATAACCCATGATTCTTTTGTCCAAAAACTTCATTGTGCATAGAATACTTTTTGCACGCTCAAATTCTAAAACTTATGTTAACTATATAACCCGTAATTTTTGTTGATTTCTACCAAAACATAAATTACAATCCCACATAAATGTTTTATGTATACTCCAAAGTTCATGATTTTTTTTTTGTGCGCTATAGCCCAATATCTCGGAGGAAATCATGTACATCAGCATACCCACAACTGTATCTTTCTGTACAAAGGTTTCAAAGACGCTTTCCTTCACCGGCAAAAAAAAATCCGACGCATGATCCACTTGTTGTGTCCTCGTTATCTACAGAGTTAAAAAGAAGATTTCAAGGACATAATCTTCACTCACAAAAAAAAAAGTATGACGCATGACAGACTCCAGTATTTGTCATCTATCTATCTACAAAGTAAAATACGAGGGGCCACATAAAGAGACGGCTCTTCCCCATTTATACGGTTGACAAAGATGCCTAACCATGAAATTTTCAGAAGGTAAAAAAAGGGCAGAGGCTCTCTGGCTGCTCATTCTGATCCTTCTTTGAGCTTTCAACCCTTCTCAATCCCCTGATTAGTCAACAGCAGCATAAACTAGGAAAAACAACGGAGTTTATTGTGCTACCCTTGGTTATCACATATAACATTATATAGCACATGATGTTCTAAAAATCTCGGCATACCAATTTACACTCTAAGCCACTAAAATATATCGTCCCAAATCTCTCACATCGAGCCATAGGCCAAGCTCTCCCACCTGAAGGGAGGGAACACAAATGATACTTCTGGCGGACCTTTAAATAGCAGACCGACGCAGACGCATACAGCTGCGATTCCAACCATTGAGAGCATTGCCGGTCTATAAAGCAGTGATCTACCGCTAGTAGAACGATGTACCATCTGTTGGCTGCAGAGATTACAATAAGACTGCCGGCTTGGCTTCAAATTGCCTTTCTCAATCTCAAAACCGGCGGATTTAACATATTTTGGTATGTCAGGTTGCTTGCACGTGGTAGCGGGAGCTGATGTGGTATTGGGCATGCTGAGGACTACGTGAGCATTGCCTGCTTGCTTATCTATTTTCTTTTGGACCAGATTGAGGTAGGATTCATGACCTCTAGAACGTGCATAGTCTTCAGGAGTGAAATCAGTAACGTCTCGAGCAGTCTTCCATGCTTTGAGTCCAAACTGACATAAAGAACGTCATGAAATATTGAGAATCCTTGATAAGAGAATAAAACTAGAAGCAGGATTAGTATAGTGTTACTGTTATGTACAAAAAGAAAAGGTAAAAAATTATACTTGCAGTGAAACAAACAAGCAGATCCCACTAACAAAGTAATACCAACAGGTATTGCCAGCCCACCCATGAGCTTTCATCTAGCTCATGATGATTTCAAATTTTACTTCGGATATGAATGCCATGAAAGAGTAAGCTTTGGTATGGACAAAAGTCACAACTACATAAGTGTAAGATAACAATGCAAAAGGTAAAGAAGAAACCTGTCCAGGATCATCGGTCAAAGCATCCAGTACACTCTCAGCACCGTTCGTAGATGCCACAACATGAAGAGGTGTAATTTTGGAGGGACCAGGCACATCTGGCCTAAATAAGAAGTCATTACGATCCTCAGCAGCAGAATCAGGCTTGTATCTTAACAGGGATTCTACCATTAACCTGGAGTTCTTTCTAACAGCATTATGCAGAAGACCTTCAGACAATGCAAGCTCATTAGGAGAGAGCCCACCTAAAGCTATTGTAACAGCATTATGCAGAAGACCTTCAGACAATGCAAGCTCATTAGGAGAGAGCCCACCTAAAGCTATTGTTCCTTGAAATAGCAGATCCAAAAGGCTTTTGACAACAGCACACCATTCCTGATCCATGGCAAATGAGATGAGCCACTTGAACCGTGTAAGCGAAAAGACATCCCCCAAACTAGAATTCACTTGTTTGGGTGTTTTCCTCAATTGACTTTTCCGAAGAAGCCAACCCATCTCATTCAAAAAGTACAAAGCCTGAGATCTGGAATTTGACGGATTCTTTTGGTCCTGAAATTCATCTTCATCTGCGGCCACATTTATCACATTCTCTAGTCCTCGGATTTCAGAACATACATCATCTTCTGCAACTATGAAGGGAAAGAAGTAGCTGCTAAGGCCATCGTCTTCCACCTGATTATGCACAGTTCAAAGTACAAACATTTAGTATAATAAATAGAGACCGAAGGAGAAAATGGATGACCATGATAGATCAACACCTCAATAAATCCTCGTCCTACAGCATTGGGAAGGGAACATGAGAAGCTCAGGCACTCGGAATCTTCGTGCTCCCCGCTTCTGCTGACTATTGCTTGTGTCGTTTCTTGGACCAAATACCTTCCTTCAAATGCACAAAGTAATCTGAAAGGAAGAATGAGATAAGCAACTTAAGAAGCAAGCCTTGATGCAATGCAAGAACAACATTTCTAGAGGGAAGAGCAATGACCAAAATGATACGAAGTACAAAATCGAAAAATATTTAAAGATATACCTTCCATTTGAATGAGCTAGATTTAAACATTTCACGGTGAAGTTAACACTTGAAGAAATAGCAGCAGCAACAGGTGAAACCGAAACGATTTTAAAATGATAAGGGTTGCCCAGAAGCCTAGAAGTGCTGAGCAAAACCTTACCTATAGAAGCAAGACACGATGAGATATTAACTTACAGATCTTATTTATAACAGTTTAAAGGAAATGATGAAAACAAAGAATAGCAAAGCAATCAGCTGACGGAGTCAAAAGTTTGGGATTTGATCAAGTGGAACTAGTGTGAGGAAGGTCAATGGACACAACATACTTCTAAACAATGAAACCTGTCCACTTTTATCCTCCTTAAGGGCGAGATGCATATGAGGTTTAACATCATTAATAATTCAACAACTGGATTTTGCGCATGCTTACGCATATTATTAGCATAACTTGGTAGTTGGTGGTTCTGTCTTGGCTTATCTGCTGAATATTAATTAAGATATATATATTGTTCACTATGTACCCTCACCACTGTTGTACTGCAAATTTCAGATTGTAATACTTTTCAATATTGCTTTTCCTAGTAATTAAAATCTTCTTTTATATATATATGTGTGTATATATATATATAAATATATGTGTGTGTAGAGAGAGAAAGACTCTTATCAACTTAAGTTGATGTCCACCAAACTTCCTAGCCACTCATTTATTAATATAAAAAACTTTTTCATATCATGCAAGGATCCCTAGGCAATACGGGTGACTAAAAAGTTGGTGGACAATTTTACTAATCCACTTAAGTTGACACAAGTTTATGCTCTCTCTCTCTCTCTCTCTCTCTCCATATATATATATATATATATATAATATACGATATATATATATATATATATATTATATTATATATATATATTATATATACTCATCATGAGATTAATAGCCGGTATCCTTGTCAGAGGCAGGAGATTCCCTCCTTTGTTGCCTTACATGGCCAATCCCACCACTTCGCTCATAAGTAAGCACAGAATCCCTCATCAACTTACACTCTCTCCTACCTTTATGAGCCATAAAGATGTGTCGGGGATTGTGCCATTATATGGCGTCAAGGATCGGAAATCCCCTCCTGATGACAAGCGATACCCATTAATCTTCTCTCTGCTCTCTCTTCTCTCTCTAGTATATAATTATATATATATATATATATATATATATATATACTTACTATACTTACTTATGATCATTATATATAGCTTCAATACAGTCTGGGCCAAAATGGAGTATTTTGCTGATTGAAATATAATATATATATACCTATATATATATATTATATAGTATATATATATATTTCGAATCAGCAAATACTCATTTTATATATATATATATATATATATATATATATATATATTATATACTATATATATATGATATATATATATATATAATATTTCAATCAGCAAATACTCAGTTTGGCCCAGACTTTGTATTGCACTATATAATTATATACTATTATATATATATATATAATATATATATATATATATATATATATATTTAGGAAAAATGTTTTCCACTAAAGGACACCTTAGATTCCCACGCTAAGGATGCGCGTTAAAATCACATCATTCTCACTTTAGAACGCTTGTAGATCAAGTTCAACGGAGCGGAATCTCAAAAAAAATTAGGGCAAATGGTGTGTGATGGTTTAGGCCTGCGTCCTTAGGGTGCGAATCTAAGGTGTCACCTTAGAAACATTACCCTATATATATATATATATACCATATATATTATATATAATATACTATATATAACATAGTATTGGAAAGTGAATCTAGCGTGACACCTTATGCTCCCACCTAAGGACGCGGCCTAGAATCACATTATTCCCTTTTTCTTTTTTTACGATCCGCTCCGTCTGAACTTGATCTACATGTTCTTAAACTTCAAACACACAATTTTGCGATGAAAACTGTCGGTGTTTCGACCCATTTATCCACTCGCCGTGCAATCTTAACGGTTTTGAATTGAATAGAACTATTTGCACGGCTCATACGAATGTCAACAACACAACGGGTTCATCCCAAAATTGTGTGTTTGCGGTTAAGAACTTGGTAGATCAAGTTCAACGGATCGCGAATCGCAAAAAAAAAATAGGAAATGATGTGCATTTCTACGGCCGCGTCCCTTATCGTGGGGAAGCCTAGTGGTGTCTCACCTTAGCACATTCACTTTTCTCAGGCTATATATATATATATATATATACACTACGTATATATATATATATATATATAATATACTGATATAGTAGTAGTATATACGTATATATATATAAGTAGATATATATGCGTGTGTGTTGTCGTGTTGTGTGTGGCCGGGGTGTGTCGTGTGTGTGTGTGTGTGTGTGTGTGTGTATCTATATATGTATATATATATATATTTCAATCAGCAAATACTCATTTTGACCAGACTGTGTGACCTGGAAGATTGATGATCAACTCTGAACCTAAATCAGAAACCAGGATCTCTAAAAAAAGGTTAATATTCGTAAAAGAGTCAAAGATACCATTATAAATAAAGGCTATGTGGTTTTGCACCCTAGCAAATATCCATCCAGTCCTCCAGAACTTATCAGCAGAACTGTACAAAAGCCTGTTCAGGTTGGAGCTTAAATCTCTGCAGAGCTGCATGTATTTAAAAAAAAGTACATATTACAGAACATGAACATGGTCAGTCATGAAGTTAAAACATATAATTTAAAGCTAAGGGATAATAAGAATAAAAGACATTTATTCATTATCAAGGTAAATTGTCAAACTGCAGGTACAGACCTCATCCCATCCTGACTTGGCTAGGTGAAGATAAATTGTTAGAATGATACAACCAGGCCTTATGTAGCTCTCGAGATCTGTTGGACTATGGGACAACCAGTTGAGGATCTGCAAATACAAATATTTCGCCACGATAGATGACTGTTAGAGAGGGGTTAGAGAGAGGACAAAAGAAATCTACATATAACGAAAGAAATCTACATATAAGAATTGTTACAGCCAGGCGTAACTCAAGAAAATGGTTACCTGTGATCTCAACATAAGAGGAAAATCATTAGGGTCTTTGCCAAAGAGTTTGAAAACAATTCTATCTGTTCGACTCTGAAATCCAAACAAAAGTTAGACAGCCAGTCAGTAAAGACGGCCTAAACATACACATGCACGTACATAGAGAGTAAGGGATGTTCAAAATGTCAGGAGAAAAAAAGATAACCCTGTCCGATATGATTTTACATGAGTAAAGCAAGAAAGTATAAGTCCATGTAAACATAGTATGTGATTGTGAAGAAAGCAATATTGTTTGTAGTTTACTGGTTCCATAAGGTATGAGTGTTCTAAGAATGCCTGGATTCAAATAAAGAGTTAAGGATTGGTGTAATACTGTAAATCATATAAAAGCTAAAATGTTTTCAAGTCATCGTCAATAAGCTGAATAATGTGCATTTATTCTGATTTGCTTTCCAGTACTGTTACCGTTACTTCCCTGGAAAATAATCACTTTATTGCTCTGGGAATATATTTGCTAAGACAAGCATGAACCATGACAATAACTCACAATGGAGGAGCGCGGATACGTATTAAAGGTGATCCACTTGTAATTCAGTCCCTAGGTTGCATGATAGAGAGAATACAACAGAATACTAGCATGAATCATAACAATATGTCAGGTAGAGAGGGGAAATTAGATATATCACATATGCAACCGTGAGCCACTGGTAGTTTATAAAGCACATGGATGCAGGTCTTAAACTTAACGAGGCAGCCAAGAACACAAAAGACATTTATTCACCTAAAACCAAGTGTACTTGGGCAATTTACCACCATAAAAACCCACTCTGATACGGAACAGAGATGATGATGAATAGTGATTGTGTGAACAGTTCTCATCAACAGCGATTTTCCCTTTTTAAATTTTCTTTGTAGTATTTAAAGACCAAATAAAAAAAGATAAAAGATAAATAGGTTAGGCTGGTTTCACACACGAACGCCTAACACCAATGGAATCATTCCAAAATCATCTCTCAAAACTTAAATTTTATTCACCAATTTTCCATCTCCTAAAATTTTTATGGGTAGAAAATGAAATCACAATCCTAACTAATTAGAGAACATCAAATAACAAACCTAACAATTTTTTTTTAAAAAATCAAGGAAATAACAAATCTAAGTAAATAACAGACTCAATCTTAACAAAATTTATCAACTAAAGAAAAATCATATCTTAAAAAGATCTTCATCAAATCTTCTGCAGCTTCAGATCTGGATGTGTGTTTCTGTCCTGCATCACACTCGGTTTAAGGGAATAATAGAGTTTGTGATCTGACACTTGAAAGAGACGAGTGTGGGTGTATATGTAGCAATGAGCTGATCAGAAGGAAGTTTCAATCAGTCCGCTTCAGTCCAAGAAACCAAAGAATAACTGGAAATTGTTACATTTGGAGTTTCAAATGCGGTGCTGCACCCATTTAGCAACATGAAACGACCCTTTACATTACTATACCTGGGTGGGCAAGCAACACTAAACCACCCAGTATTTGCTACCTCAACCGCTCTGTGACATGTGATATCATGGGACCTCGATGGTGATGGATACATAAAAACAAGAAAATATGCAATACATCGTATTTGGAGCCACTGAAATATTTTGCTTCAAGTGAGCGTAGAGTGAAAACATATTTGCAGTGTGCAAGGTCTAGGGCCTACTGTCCAAAGTAATGTGTGCCGGTATGTTTGATGGAATATTGATAAGAAAACAAAACAGACGACTGTAGACACATCTATAATTAGCATGAAGACAAGTGCAGAGGTAATAGTTTACATTTGACACAAAGGTCTTAAGGAATGTTGAGAAATTTAAAGTACATCATATTTTCTAAAGAACAAACAATAAATACACAAAAACATGTGATTATGTAGAATATACCTGCGCATCGCCATTAGAACTGGATCGTGACGGTGCAGATATCGAATCTGAATTAACACTCATCTGTGGTGGACTTGACTGGTGAGAGTCCTGCAACAAATATGGAGAAATAGGAGAACCAGTCCCCAGAGAAGGAGGACTAGCCGAATTCTCATTCGCTTCCATGCAATTTTCTGTATCGCTGTATGCATTGTTCAAATCGAATTCCTTCAACCTAGCTCTCTCTGCCGTAGAATCGACAGGTAGTGTGCAGATGATAAGTATGAAAGACTCCTTTAACTAAAACTAAGAATAAAGCTATTCTTACTAAAAGTGAAGGATGGATCAAGACTGCAGTACATACTGACCAGGAGAAGCTACAGTAAGAAGTCTTTTTGAACTATCTGGTGTGGGTACAGCGACACATACAGAATGATCATTTGGTCTGAGCGGACGATCATGGCTGTTAGCGGCACATGTTATCTTGGAAGTTGAAGGCAGGTCTCTGCTAAATGCTTGTGGGGCAACACCATTTGGAGTCAAACCATTTGGTACTTCCGAAGAAGTCCCAGCAGATACTCCAAGTCTCTTTGAATCTTGAGATGCCTGGAGCATTTCACAAAGGTTTTTTGAATCGAACAAACCAGCAAGAGTGGCAAGGCTTTTCAGAAGATGAGACAAAAGATCCTGATCTTTTGACTGGTCAGAGTTATCAGCTGCAAGAATAGCATAGAAAAAAGAGATCAATCTGTGATCATGGTCGACTCCACTAGTAACACTCATACTCCAGCAATTAGCAAGAAAATATAATGATGGGGATCCGCATGGAAAATGACTATTCCATCTACATAAAATTTTATCAGTGCCCGTCTAAGGATCAACATGGAAAATGAGTAGTCGATCTTCATAGAACTCAATTAGTCCCCTATCTACCTGTCAATTTAAATTATCATGTGAAGATTGCCAAGAGATACCAAAGTGTTCAAACCCAAAAAGGTACATTAGTGCAAGTCTAGCGTCAGCAATAAAGATAACTAGAAACAAACTCAACATTTATTACCCTCATTCAATTGTTTCAGCATCCAGCAAGTTATTCTTGAAGTCAAAATTTTCCAAAATATTACACAAGGCGTGAATGTCAACCTTTCAATTGAGTGAACAAGTCAACAAAGTTCTTGAACTTAATGTTATGGATCATATGAGATTAACCTAGGATGTTGCACTAAGATGCAAGAAATAGAAGAATGATGGGAATTCAACGAAAAGAAAACATAGATAGACAAAAAAAAAAAAGAAGCATATGAATGATATGAATGCACATAAAATCTCCAAAGCATGCTGAAAGGAAGATGCCATAGAAAAGATGCATAGGTCATAGGAAACTTACTGTGCAAGTTGGAGAGAATTCGAAGTAGAGTTATCAACAAATAGCTGGCAGTTTGATCATCAATCACAGGATTTGCAGTATTACTGGTGTCAGGAAGAGTTTTCCTCCTGCGTCTGTTATGGCCGGCTAAGCGACGCCTACAACTTCTCTTACCTTCATCAAATTCTGGAAGAAGGTGAAACCTGACATAAGATATGAAGATACTTTTACTTGGGTAGAAAAGAAAGAACAAGCAAATGAAAGTTTGAAACTTACTAGAATAGCATCATATGATAATTAGTAATATTGCAACTCTAAACAAAGCAAACATGTGGAAAGTGTGATATTTTAAGTCATACTTAACCTACAATGTTTCTTTGTTCTTTTTTCTTTTCCTTTTCTTTATATTGTTATTTTTTCACGAAGTGCAAGGAAATTGAATTGAGCATTAGCCTTTCTGGTTTAATTGTTAAGGTAAATCTTTTACCAACATATTGTGCTCCAAGTTTGTCAGATACTATGTCGTGTGGGTACTTCTATTATGAAGTTGTAACAGTACACGATGATGCATGGACGCTTCTATTATGAAGTTGTAATCATACCCGACACTTCTTAGACACTACTTGAATATAGGCATACGCTTATTCAGACATGTACTCAATAGAACAATACATTTTTAAAACTAAAACACTAATCACACACTTCCTGGACAAGGTCGGGTTTAATTCATCCTATATTCAGTTCAAAGCTATGGTTTCAAGTGGTCAGTTGCATATCTAATTTAGAGCTATGATTTCAGCCCATGTGTTTAAGCCATGTGCCCATACCCTACCTTTTAAAAGTTTATCACGTCTCCTACCAGCATTCGTACCGGTATCTGTACCCATACAACTTAGATTTATTGTCCACAGAATTTTGTGAATTTTATTATGCATAAAATAATCAAAGGGCGACGACAACTTGTGACTTAATCAAAAACGCTCGAAATCATGAGTTATAGTCTGTAGAAACTCCGGAGTTTGGAGCACACAATATATTCTTTACGAGACGGCAACTTATGATTTTGTCAAAAACACATGGGTTGACAACTTGACATAAATCAGAAGTTTGGGTTACACAAATATTCTATGTGGGACAGTGACTTGTGATTTGAAAGAAAATGACCAAAATCACAAGCCACAATCTACAAAAATTAGGGAATTTCGAAGTATTGTATAAAATATTCTACGCAATATGGCCTATAGTTTGTTGAAACGGAGACAATCATGGGATAATACCCCCCACAAAATATTGGAAATCATGGAATACGCGTAAAATATTCTATTCGGGACAATCATTAGGAATTTTGTAAAAAATGGCCAAAATCAATCATCGTACAAACGAATTGAAAAATTTTAAGTGCACTTAAATATTCAATGCAAAAGAGCATTTTGTAGTATGACAAAAAATGGTCACCATCATGAGTATTTGTCAATAGAAACTAGGGAATGTTGCGTACGCATATACATTCTATGCAATATAATAATTTGTGATTTGGTAAAAAATGGCTAAAATAAAGGGTTATAGCGCATAGAAATTGGAAATTTTAGAATACACAAAAAAATATTTTATGTGGAAGGTAACTTATGATTTGATCAGAACGACAATCACAGGTTATGCTCATCAGCCATTCAAGAATTTTTGTGTACATATAAATATTCTATGGGTAACAACATGTGATTTTGGTCGATTATAGACAAAATTATGGAATGTAGTCTATAGAAAATCGGAATGTTCGAGTAGACAAATTATTTTATGGGGAACAATAACTTGTTATTTGGTTAAAAATGGCAAAAAAATCATGGTTGCATCTTCCACATATTTGAGAAATGTGGAGTATGCATTAAATATTCCATATGAGACAACAAGTGATTTTGTCAAAAACAAGTAAAATCATGAATTATAAACCAAAAAAATTTAGGAATTCTAGACTACAAATTATGTATATATTATTCTGTCAGACGACAATTTGTGATTTGGGTGAAAACAAAAATCATGAGTTCTAATCCTACATAAATTCGGGAATTACCAAGTACTGATAAAAATATTCTAAAAGGAGCGGCAACTTGCGATTTGGTAAAAAATGACCAAAATCATGAGTTACTTAGGCACTCCACTCCAGAGCACACATGAAATTTTTGATGTGAGACAATAACTTGTGGTTAGGTTTAAAACGACCATAATCATGGGTCATAGTGTACAAAAATTTGCATATTTTGAACTACATACAAAACATTCCATGTGAAATGGAAATTTGTAATTTGGTTAAAAACAGACACAATCATGAAGTACAAAAATTTAGATTTTTAGAGTACACAAAATATTTTATTTGGAGCAATCAATTCAGATTTGGACAAAAAATGACCATATCATGGGTCGTAGTATAATGAAATTAAGAAACTTTTAAGTATACATTAAATATTCCATGTGGCATGGCAATTTTTATTTTGATTGAAAACAGCTACAATCATGAGTTATAGACCACACAAATTAGGGAACTCTGAAGCACCAAAATATATCCTGTGTAGGATAACAATTTGTGATATGACGAACACTGCCAACATCAGGGATTATAGTTTATATATGTTTGGGAATATTTGGTTGCAAAAATATTTTATGCAGAACAACTAGCTTGGTCGAAAACAGTAAAAATCAAGGGCATGGTCTACAAAAATTCTCGTGAGAGTATAAAATTTTCGATGTGGGACAGCAACTTGTGATATGGTCAAAACCAACAAAAATCACAGATTACCGTCCACAGAAATTCAAGAAATTTGGATTACGCATATAATATTCTCCGAGATGACAACATGTGATTTGGTTGGAAATAGATAAAATTGTAAATTATAAGCCACGAAAATTTAAGAATTTTGAAGTACGCAAAAGCATTCTATGCAGGACAATAGTGATTTGGTTGAAAACAACTAAAATACTGAGTTATAGACTTATAGTCCATAAAAATTCAGGAATTTCCGAGTACACTTAAAATATTCTACGTCGGACGACTATTTGTGGATTAGTCAAAAATAGCAAAATTCTTGGGTTAGTCCACAAATTTGGGACTTTTGAAATAGATATAAAGGCATTCCGCCGATTAAGGCCAAAATCAAGAGTCTTAGTCAAAACAAATTTAGGAATTTCGAAGTATTACAAAATATCTATGCGCGATGACAACTCTGGCTAAGTCGAAAATGGCCACAATCATTGGCTATAAATTTATAATTCACAAAAATTTGATAACCCCTGAACATACATAAAATATTCTCTACAGGTTTGCAATTTGCAATTTGGCCAAAAACGACAAAATCATAGATTATAGTCCACAGAAATTCGAAATATTTTGAGTATGCATATAATACTCTAAAGGAGACTGCAACTTGTGATTTGGTCAAAAACAATCAAAAATCATGAGTTATAACTTACAAAAATTCGCGAACTTAAGAACACATATAAAATAATCTGTGGGACGACACCTTGTAATTTGGTCAAAACAGCCGAAATCATAGATTATAGTCCATAGAAATTCAAAAAAAAATAATATGCATATAATACTCTTGAGGGATATTGCAACTGGTGATTTGGTCAAAAACAATCAAAATCATAATTTATAATTTATAAAAATTCAACTTAGGGGTACATACAAAATACTCTATGGTACGACATCTTGTGATTTGGTTGCGAACGGCCAAATTCATGGGTTATTCCATAGAAATTGATAATTTTGGTATGCATAAAATATAACTATGCGGGACAAGAATTTATGATTTAGTCGAAAACAATCAAAATCATGAGTTCTGATTAATTTAAAGAATTTTAAAGCCTATATATTCTAGGAGGGAAGACAATTTCTGAATTGGTCAAAACCGACCAAAAATATTAGCTATATATACTTCACAAAAATTTGGAAATTTCAGAGTACAAATAAAATATTTTTTTGGGATGACAACTTATAATTTGGTCAAAATTATTGGTTATAGTTCATAGAGATTTGAGAATTTGGAATAGGCAAGAGATAGCAAAGATATGAAAAAAAATGCATCTTGTGTTTGTTGTTTATAGTTGAGTTCATATTTTTGTGTCACTTGATGAAAAAGATATTTCAAAATTACAAATGATGTGCCACCAGCATTACGAAGGAGAGATCAAAACCTTGGCAATGTCATGAATCTTGTCAAAGTAGTTATGTAGAAATTGCAAAGAAATAAGAGAACATGGATAGATGAATTGTTGCAAGCAACTTGCGCTTTTTGCAATTTGCATGAGATAGCAATCCTAAATATGGAAAATAATTGTAGTTTGTTGTAGACCACAGCGTGGAGTTTAATTACCTAAAAATCTTTATCGCTATTAAGTTGAATTGTTCAATACATATATAGATTTTTTTTTGTTCAAGAGTTGAACAACCATTTTGATAAGGAAAAATTCTAAAAATAAACCGATTTTGCTAAATATTTAGCAAAATCGACCATTTTGCTAAATATTTAGCAAAATCGACCTATTTTTGGCCAACAGGCCAAAAAGATATCGATTTTGAAAAAGAGGTGCAGAAATCATACAGGACTACTAGTCCCGTATGATTTCTGTGCACTAATTAAGGATTAGTGCTGACAGAAAATATACGGGACTAATAGTCCCGTATGATTTCTGTCATTGTTTACATCGTGGACCAGCACCATCTCCCGCCCGTTGAATTCGATGTTGGTTTTTTTGTCTAATTCCTGTGGATTCCCACGCAAAACCATGGACTTGGTCTCCATTATTTATACCCACAGCCCATGCCAGCTCATGTGATCAATCAAAGCGCTAACTTTAATTACCTCCCTAAATCTAAGCTTCTTCAAGGTTAAGAATTTTGTCCAGCTCATTGATTGATCAGCCATGTGCAACGGGGGCGACTGATGAGCTCCGGATGGGTTTTTTGATTGAAGGGCTTAGTCGATGAGGCCGAGGGAGGAGTAGATGAAGGTGATGATGGAGGAGGATGAGGATTTGAGGAGGTGAGCATGGAGCTGATGAGCTCTGGATGGGTTTTTTTGATTGAAGGGCTTAGTCGATGAGGTCGAGGGAGGAGTAGATGAAGGTGATGATGGAGGAGGATGAGGATTTGAGGAGGTGAGCATGGAGCTGATGAGCTCCGGATGGGTTTTTTGATTGAATACGAAGA